GTGTTCCACATGCTTCTAACCTTAAGAGAATCATTTTTGCGGACGATTCTAATTTATTTCTGTCAAATGACAAAATACCCGCTTGAAATGTGTTAATTAAATACCATTGGTATTATAAGTTTCAAAAAACACGAGTTGACTTTAATATGTGGAATAACTGACTTACCATGACCCGTATAATTATTACTGAACATATTTATATCATATTACTGATCATGGTAAGTCTATTCCACACCTATCATTTTAATAACTTCTTATTTCAATAATTTAAAAAAAATACCAAAGTATGAAAATCTTTTTTTTGAGTTAACGATTAACATTCAATACTTTACAACTTCTGTAAACTTAATATATATATATATATATATATATATATATATATATATATATATATATATATATATATATATATATATATATATATATATATATATATATATATGTATATATATATATATATATATATATATATATATATATATATATATATATATATATATATATATATATATATATATATATATGTATATATATATATATGTATATATATATATATATATATATATATATATATATATATATATATATATATATATAAAATAGATTATGTATTATTATGGTATAATAATAATAATACAAATACTCTTGTGAGTTTATGAGTGCTCAATACTATTAAATAATAAAGCAATATTTATTTATTTATAATAAATGAATAAAAACAACTTTTGATGGAACTCTGAGTTTCATGCCTTTCGGCAATGATCAGCCATTGTGTATTTTGTCACGTAAAAACCGTTTAAAAATTACAAATAAAAATTACGGTGGAACGAGTTCTGACATTACAAATATAAAACAAAACAAAAAGACGTCAAAGGTTTTAGTCCCCGGTTTCGAAGACAAGATTACAAACTTTTGATGCTTGATTGTAGGGCTTACATTGTGCTATATATTGATATATGTGACTTTTAATATACATATTACATACACATAAGACACTAAATAACCTAATTTCTTTTGAATTTTCTTTGTTTATTTTAGTTAAAAAGTATCTTTAATAAAATAAAAAACATCTAATATTACTGAAATAGTTCAGTCATTTAAAAATGTATTTAACTAGACATATTACAAAAGTTAGCATATAGAAAAAAAAAATCCACCTTTCAGGTAGTTTACACAACTTTTTTTCTGCGAGGTTTCATTGAAGCAAATAGATTTATCGACAAATCAAAGTCAGTGTTTTCAGCAAGCTCACGTTCAATAGAAACTAATGCTAATCCAGAAGGACGTTCGTTTGTCATTGTTGATTTAAAATAATTTTTTTATAATCTTTAGCTTACTAAAACTTCTTTAGGCATTAGCAGATGTAACAGGAAGAGTCAAGTAGATTTTGTAAAGTATAGACAAGTTAGGGAGACCGGTTGCTGTCTGTTTCTCGATCAAAAACTGAAATACATCTTTCAATTGTATGTCAGTTTTCAGTGATGTGAATATCAATGCATACACATCATTGAAAGTCTCATACTCGACAACTGCTTCTTCAGTATTTACGTCGTTACAATTAATTTGACATAAATTTTTTAATGAATTTATATTTTATTCAAATAATTTTGACGGATCAAGTAACCAAAATGTATTACTGTGTTATTAAAGTCGTAAAATCGTCTATTTATTTGGGTTATAATTGTATTCAAAACATTTAAGTAAGTTTCACATTTTAATCGTGTAATTGGATCAACTCTTTCATCTCTCCACAACTCTCCTGTCATGCGTTTTATTTTGGCATGATATTAGGCTAACTAAATTTAAACAAAGGCGAGTTTTCTTTAAATTCAATTTCTACATCTAGTTTAGCACATTTTTCACTAATAAATGATTTGACTGCTAAATGTAGAACTTCAAACCTTACCTGTTCTCAGCATAGACATCTCAATTATTGAAAGAACTCATTCATCTAAATTTCTTGGTGTATATCTACAAACATCGGTCTACTTTTTAAAGCAAGACCTTTTCTGTCTTACGATAATTTAAAATTACTTTATTTTTCATTTATACACTGCTATCTATCATATGCCAATATTACATGGGCTAGTACCCATAAAAGTAAGCTAATTTCACTACATCTACGACAGAAACATGCTTCTAGAATGATATTTTATAAAGATAAGCATACTCATGCAAGTCCATTAGTTAAACAGATGAATGCTTTAAACATTTACCCAATCAACATATATCAAAATATATTGTTTATGTTCAAACATAGAATGGGAATCATCCTAAGTCGATTCAAAAACAACTTTTTAATACTAATATAAATAAATTTAGTACCAGAGCAACTGGAAACTATATTCTGCCTATGAAAAAACAAAAATCTCAATTATCTGCAGCTTATCGTGGTCCTTACTTATATAACAAATTAATTTCGAAAAATTCACCAGTATTTCTTGTAGAAAATATTAATTTCTTAAAAACCAAATTAAAAAAAACTCATTCTCGAAATAAATAATTACATGGAAATATTATAATTTATTATGAATAATAAGAAAAATATTAATGTAAAAAAAAAAAAAAAACAGAAAAAACAGAAAAAAAAGTAAACTTAACTTGTTAATAGTATTTATAACAATAATATAGTATTTCATGAAATTAATAATAAGGGTTCTCGATGACAAGACATACACAGTTTTCTGCGAATTTCCCCCTGACTACAAAATTTAAGCTAACTTATTTTTATCCCGTTTCTTTATCACAATACAGTTAGTAATATTACTTTAATTTACTTACCTCAATTTTATTTTATTTTTATTTGTGATAATTTTTTTGCTATTTTGAATTTTTTTGAGTTAAATTTAAGCATCTGCAGTATTTTTATAAAATAAACTAAAATTTTTATAATATAAAATACTTATAAAATAAACCAAAATTTTTATAATATATATGTATGTTATAATATATATGTATATAATTTTTATAATGTATATGTATATTATAATTATTAATTTTATTAATGTATATATATATTTATAACATAATTAAAATACTTATAAAGATTAAAAAGCCTTTAATTAATAACATTTAATAATAACATAATATGCAATAACATTTTCTTTTGTTAAAAATTAAATTAAAAATGTTATTACAAATATTTTATAAAGCATAAAAAGACATAATGTTAATAATAGATTTTAATTTCGTTTCAAAAAATTACAACTATAACATTTCAGGTTATTCTCGAAAAAAAATTATAACTTTCCAGGATATTGTGGAGCATTCATAGACCCTTGCAAATATCCAGGACATTCCAGGACTGCGGAGAACCATGGAAGACCATGAGGACCATGAGAACTTCTGCTATTAGTAGCACACAAAAAACACCTGAATGCACACAAAAACTATATTTTTTAAATGCACACGAAATGAGGAGACACTATTAAAACTATTTTAAACCTCATAAAAAATTCTAAAGGTATTAGTTGTAGAACATTTTAAACAGCGACCAATTGCATTGCAATAGTAGTAATTATTTCATCTAATGAGTTCATAAAAATGTAGCAATCATTTGTAATATTGATTATAATAAACAATTTTTATGTATGATTATAATAAACAATTTTTATTTTTATGTACAAACTCATTATTTACAATATTAACAGAATATTTATGGCTGGAGCAGGATGAAAACATTTTTTTATTTTTGTTGCTATTTTTATATATTCTGTTAATTATTCATTCAAGTTTTAGTTCATGTAAATTAAGTTTTCTTCAGCTGCAATGTTTTTGATTTTGATTTCCTTCAGCTGCAATTGCTGTCGATATTTTTTCCTCTGAAAAAACTAAGTTTCTTATTATACCTTATTTTACTTCTTTTGCCTTTACTTTTGACAACTTTATAAAGTTGTCACAAGTTTTGAGCATTTAATAAAAATTTAATTTGATTATTTGACTCATGTTTAGAATATATTCAAGCATAAAAGTATACATTATAATGTTAAAAATAAAGTATACATTATAATATTAAAAATAAATAATCATTATAATGTTAAAAATGAATATACATTATAATGTGAAAAATTTGTTTAAAATTTATCACTAAATCATTCGTTGTATCTTTACATACAACGAATTAAGTCGATATATGTACACTCATTAACCTCATCCCTGAATAACTTATTGTTCCGTAAATTACTAAAGTTGTCAAAATCGTGGTGAGTGGGATATCTAGACACAACCCAGAAAATAGCAACTATAGTTGGAAAATTTGTTTAAAAAAATTGTAGCCAAGTGCCATGTAGCTTTAGAGCTGCAACTACTATAACTGGTATTTTATCGTATAATTTCTTTTTAGCTGTATAGTAACAGAATAAACAAAGAGTTGCTATTGAAAAATAAAAAAACTTGCTTGTACAACTTTGTGAAAAATGTTTTTGGCGTGCGTTTTGTTGATTACAGTTGAGCAGTGCAGTAGCTAGGTAAGTCAGAGGCCCCCACCCCCAATCCTACCTTTAGGGCACCAAAATCTTTAAAAATTTACCAATAGCTATTACTAAATAATAAAAAAAAAGCTTCTTTAATTAGCACAAGGGGCCCCTAAATTTCCAAATAGCCTCCCTCCCCCAATGACTACAAAATAATTTAAGGTGTATGTTTTTCCATCGCTCAAGCGATTACTTTAGCCAATTAAGTAACTTTATTTTAAAAGCACCACGTGCGCCACAACAACTTAACCCATATATAAACATAATATACATAACCACGGCGATCTATACTGCAGGCCTTACCAACGTGCAAACCGCGTATCTGACTGGGGGTCTATTTAAAATTTCGCTCAACCTTAGTCGCCATTTTATTGATAATAAATATTGGTAAAAAATGTTGTATTTATGGCTGCACTACAAATTATTTATCTACAAAAAAGAAATCTGATAATTCAAAGCTTTCAGTATATCGATTACCTAAAAATTAGGAAGAAAAACATGTGGAATAAAGTAATTCCAAATGCAAACTTAAAAGTAACTAATGACACTGTAGTTTTTGAATTGCATTGGCCAATAAATTTTGAAAAACAAATAGTTATAGGAAATTATTGTCCTAAATTTCCACCATATGTTTGGTCTGGCATACCGTCTTGTCAAATTCCTACCCATCGTTCTCCACTGCAACAACTCGTGCTTCTTCGTGTTTTCGAAATTTCGCTCAAGATGAACGATCCACTTTTTTTAGAAAAAGATAGTAACTTTTGCTGAAATGAAAAAAATTCTTTTAAATAATGAAAGAGATTTAGGTGCTCCATTAGTATGCTTCATGATTAATAACACTATTCATTTACAATCACAAGTTTATTCAAATGGAGTTCCTTATTTTTTAATCAAGATTAGTGAGAATTTACATTTTGAAACTTATCATTATGGTGCCAAAAATAAAGTTCCTACAATATCTAAAAACAGAATTTCAAAAACCAACACGTCGCCTATATTAGAAGAAGTTTTGCGTTATTTGAAGAATTTAATTCCAGGCAGATAAGAAATTGCAATTCAAGAACATTTAGCCTCTATGAGCACACAGTGTGTTGGTAGTAAGATTTATTCTAAGGAGGTTATTATCAGATCTTTTCAGTATTTTGCTACATCTAGAAGTTTGTATAATCAATTGCGAACAGATTACCAATTGCCTTCTGTAAGAACTTTGATAAGAATAACTTCAAAAGTTTCTAAATTATATGAGAAACATTTTTTGACTAACTTTTTAATCTGTTGAAAAAAAACAGAAACTTTGTTTTTTATTGCATGATGAGGTTTATGATAAAAAAATGTTGTTATACCATGGTAATAAATTATTCGGAAAAACAATCGACGATTCAACTTCTCTTGCGAAAACTATATTGGGTTTAATGGTTAATTGCTTATTTGGTGGACCATCGTTTATTTCCAAAATGATACCTACTAGGTATATAGTAAATTAAACTCTCTTTTTTTTTGAGTAATTCTCAATTTCTTTTTGAAACTCTCAATTTCTTTTTTGAACAAAATTATATAGTAGATTAAACTCTCAATTTCTTTTTGAACAATTTAATATTATTATTCAATCAATAAAGGAGTCTTCGAGTCAAGTTAATGCTATAATATGCGACGGAAATAGAATTAACCAAGCATTTTTTAAAATTTTTGAAAGATCAGCTCCAGGTTGACTAATGATGGTATTTTCTTAATCTTTGATTATGTCCATTTGCTTAAAAACATTAGAAATAATTGGCTGGTATTTAAAGGAGTATTTAAAGTAGCTCAATGGGATCATCTTAAAGAACTTTATGAACTTGAATCAAAAAATTTAGTTAAACTACCCAACTTAAATGAAGTTTCAATATTTCCAAAGCCAATTGAGAGACAGTCAGTTTCTACTTGTTCTAAGGGTATTTTGTGACAAAACTTACCATGCTTTAATTAATCATCCAGAACTGCAGCATATAAAAGAAAGACAAGATACAGCACATTTGCTGTGTCATGGTGGAACGTTCTCAATGTTAAGGGAACAGGTGCTGATATTAAATTCAATGATGAACTTCAAACAGTAATTAGAGATCCTAATGATAATAGATTAGAAAATATTTTAAATTTTGGAAATTTGCCTTTAAAGATGGCTGGAAAGCAATGTAAAAGGGAGAAACAACTTACTTGTGACACTGCACAGTTTACCACACATGCAATAGTGTTGTTGAACTTTGTAAATCATTATTGGATAGCTCACATCAACATGTCATTCTTAGTGAGTTTTCTACTGATACATTGGAAAAAGAATTTAGCAAATTGCGCCAAGGTTCAGGAGGAACATATTTCACAACAGTACAACAAGTGATTAAAAAGTTGAATATTTCAAGAGCTTAGCTTTTGCTATCATTTAATAATCCAGCTGTTGACATATGTCTTGATACAACCCATTCTTGTCCAAATTGTGGTTTTCTATTGGATAAGTCCTCTGCTGAGATATTTGACAATCTACCAGATCTCAAATCTTTTATTTCTCTTGATACAAATAAGGCTCTTATATATATATATCAGGGTATTTAACTCGTAAAGATAAAGAACTATCAGAAAATGAATTGCAAGATAAAATCACTTTTTACCACCAAAAGTATGGGAAATACATAGATTCAATTGACCGTGGAGGGCTTAATATTCCCACAGATAATACCTGTCAATGGATAATATTTTCTTTTATAGTTTTCAATGCAATTAAGGAAATTAATTTGCAACCAACATCGAACAATGCTAAAAAGTGTTCTTAATTTTACATGTCTTAAAACGAAACGAACTATACTACCACAACAAACAGTTCAGGAGTCTGGAGTCATAGCATGCCATGACATGAGCAATCAGCTGATAGGTGACAGCACTTTTTGCAGCGGACAAAACAAGTGCAACTTTTTTGGTTTGTTTCATTTTCTTACATCTGGTCCGTGTCAACGTCACGGAAGTTTTTTAATAATTTAAGGAAGTATCCAGAAGTTTCCAGAAGAATGCAGAAGCTTCCAGAAACATCCAGAAACATTCAGAAGCATCCAGAAACTTCCAAAAGCAGCAAAAATCTTCCAGAAGCATCTAGAATCTTCCAGATTCTAGATGCTTCTGGAAGATTTGCTCACACAGGTTTATTTTACTATATAAGAGATATGTAAACCGACATGTAATTCAGTCAGTATATAGAAGTCAATCAGTCAGTATTTTCAAGACAGTTTATACAAGTGAATTTTATCAAAGTGTTTTATCGAAGAACATCAATACAAGAAGTAAAATACAACAAGTGTTTCATTACATCAATACAATCTACATGCAACCAAGACGTTGTGTTCCACAGATCATTATTGTATCATCACAAGGTAAATGTAACACGGTAAGTCTTGAGAACCGTGATTATTTATTTTTATTATTTTTATTAATGGTCTAGGGGTGTTTTTCTGCTAACGGTCTAGATCCAATACACCGAATCGATGGAATAATGGACCGTTTCATGTATAAAAATATCCTGAAAGATGTTATGTTACCTCATGCTGAATGAAACATGCCAATAAGATGGGTTTTTTTCAGCAAGACAACGATCCGAAACACACTGCAAAAGTAGTCAAGCATTGGTTTCAAGACAACCACTTATCGGTCCAACCGCCTCAATCTCCGGATCTCAACCATATCGAGAATGTGTGTGAAATCGTCAACCGCGGAATTATTCGTGAAGGTGTTCGTAATAAGGATCAACTGTTTGAACAAATCCAATAGGCCTAGGCAGCGATTCCACAAAGTTTCATTGATCACCTGATCGAATCTATGCCCGGAAGATGCAAGGCTGTGATCGACAACAAAGGATTCGCCACAAAATATTGATAGAGAAGAACAGCTTGGTCAACATTTTGTGCACTTGTATTGTCCAGAAGAAAATCAACTTTTTTTAATACTTTTGATTAATTTATTAATTTTTGTGTACAAATAAAGAACTTTGTGATGAATAAAACTTGAAGAACGTTGACTCTAAACAGTTACATAGTTATTTCTCTAAATTGAAAAAATGCAGCACTTTTGTATAAAGAAACTAAATTAACATTATTTGGTTGCACTTGTTTTGTCCGATAATGTATATATATATATATATATATATATATATATATATATATATATATATATATATATATATATATATATTTTCATATATATATATATATATATATATATATAATGTTTTTTTAAAATGTTGTTTACTTCATCCGAAAAGTTAGTCATGTGGCTTACGCTTTTATTATCATTGGTTTAGTTATAAATAACTTGGACAACTGTGTTTTTTACGCGGTAAACATTGGACAACAGTGGTTGTTTTAACGTTGCCCTTTTTTTAAATGACCATAGAACCTTAAAACATAGTTTTTCTGTTATAAATTTTTAAATTAAAATAGCTTATTACTAAAATATCATAAAAATATGTAAAACTGGAAATTTTCAAAAAATGGGCATCTGTGGTTTTACCCGAGTGGTTTTCATTTATATTAAAAAGTATAAATTAGTATAAATTAGTATAAAGCTAGTATAAATTAAAAATATTTTTCAAAAAATTTTATTTCCAAATGCAATCAAATACTTTAAATACATCATGAAACAGTTTAGTGTATACTTACATATGTATTTAATAATTTTTAATTTGTTAAATCTAAGTAGAAAGTATTTCCACAATCTTCTTCGTCTTGATAATTTTCGAATATTTTTTTACCATCAATTTGAAACGTGTTCCACGCTTTACGTTTAATGTTCACAAAGTTCAATTTGTGAAGAATCTTATCAGTTATTAGGTTTGCAGTAAAAACCAAAGCACATTGCGTACCAACATTTCGAGCTATCTAAAAACAACAAATCAAAATCACAAATTACTTTTTTGTTCCACATAATATTTTTTTATATAATTTCAAGATATAAATTTTTCCATTTTTTTTCTTGTTTAGTTAAACTCAGATCATGGTTTATTAGTAAACTAAACCAAAAAACAAAATGTAGATCTTTTAGGTGGATTCACCTAAAATAAGATATTTTTATTGGCTTTTATTTTAGTTTCTCAAGTATTTAACTCTTCTATTTTTTAATTAAGTGTTTCTTTAGATCAGGGTTGTCCCACCTTTAAGCAGTCAGGGGCATTATTTTATTTTGATGACAACACAAGTGCCACAAATTAAAAAAAATATATTTTATTTAAATTTCTAATTAAAAATAACTTATTCTATTTCAATATTGTCAAAAAAAATTTATTTAATGGGAAAGTTTTACACAAATGATCAATGTCAGCTTTTATAGTGGATGATAAAATCCGACGTGTATCAGTGAGGTGTTCCTCTTTCAACCTTTGTCTCTGATTAAAAATGTGTCATTCTTGAAAAAAATTGTCCACAGATGTAAGTGCTTCCAAAAAGAGTATAATATTTCATGGCATGTCTGCACAAATGTGGATAAACTCAATGTCTAAGTATTTTTCATAAAATTCGAACAATTCAACAGTTTTGTAAGCTTCTTTTAAGCCTTTATTGTTTTGTAGTTCTATCATTTTCATTTGAAATTTATCTATTACTGTCTCAACTTTAATGGAAAATGGATGTGAAAATAAGTCCAACTCATTTTCTTCTTTGAAATAACAAAATCTCGTGTCAAGTTCATCAATTACCCTTAAAATAAAATTACAATATTTTTCATAGTCAACTGTGGTAGTATTTCTTGATGATCAAGTTTTAAAACGGATAAGTGATTTTTGACTTTTGTTGTTTGAAAAGTTTTTATTTCAAAAAACAAATGTTTTTACATTTTCATATAATTTACTCATAAGTTGATCTTTACCCTGCAAGTTGATATTTAATTTCATTAACATCTGAGTTCTGTCAATTAAAAATGCCAAATCATTCAGCCACTTATTATTTTCATGAAAGTTTGTGTCTTTATCTTTAATTTTTAGAAACTTTATTATTTCAGGTAATAATATTCAAAATCTTTTCAAAGTTACAGCTCGACTAAGCCATCTAACTTGGCAGAAATAAGTTACATCTTCTGCCTGACATCCACAAAACTTAAGCAATCGTTGGAACTGTCTGTGATTAAGGCTGTCTGTTAATTAAAAGATTAACAGTTTGGATAACAAATTCCATGATTTCTAATACTTTTGTACGTAACTGTTCCTGATGTAAATACAGTGATATGAAAGAGTATTGTGAATAACGGATGTCTTAAATAATGCCACAAATCCAATATTTTTTCCTTTCATTGAACTTGCTTCATCTGTAATGACACCAGAGAGTTTTGTTTCTGGGAAATCTAACTAAAAAATGGTTTTGACTTCAGAAAGAATATCTTCTCCTTTAGTAATGCTTTTCATGTGCCTAACATACAACAGTTCTTTAATCATTTCAAAATTAATTGGTATACTTCGAATAAAAATAGATAACTGAGCTGTATCACCTCTATCTGTTGATTTATCAAGTGCCAGACTATATGCTTCACACTTACATAATTTTTCTTTTAATGCCAATTCAATATTCTTTGATAAATCTTCAATTTTTTCAAAACAAATGAGACACATAATTGAATTATTTTGCTCAATTACAAAATATTCATTTTTCCAAGATAAATTAAATATACGACCTCCGTGTCGACTTTCAATTTCAACTCTTCGTCTTTTATTAGCACTAGCAGAAGCCATTTAAAAAAAAAATAAATATAATTAGGGTTCGCTAACCAAGTAGTCAATACTGCATAATACATAATTGAAGTATGAGCTGTTGAACTGTGTTAATATTTAAAGTTAAAAGTATAATGTAAAAATTTAAAATATTGCATTACGTATGGAAGCCTGAGAATAGCAGCAGATTCATTTTGATCGGCAGTTATAGTTGTGTTTTTTTTTATATTAACTATTTTACCTTGGTAGGTACCACTACTTTTCTTATTATTCCTTATCTTTCACATAAAGGAAGTTACCACTTTTTACCTTCCTTTGTGTTATGTAAAAGAAATGAGGTTAAAAAAGTTCGTTTTTTTTTAAATAAAGATTTTAGTTGCAAAAATGTTTCTATAATAAAGTTGCAAAAATGTTTCTGCTATAATAAAATCAATAGAATTTGTATTTTATCATTAAAAACATTTTATCATGAAAAAGTGATAATCACAAACAATACCTTCTTTTTCTTTAAGACCCTCTCAATTTGGGAAGTGTACTTTTACATAATTAACATTTCTAAACGTAACAGTAGGTACGCGCATATCGTGATTTACGGAACCGATTTTTTTGCTAAAATTTTGTGACTCGTTTTTTTCACTTCTTTTTAGGCAGCGTGGGGTAAACGTAATTTTGTGGTGTTTCTTTTTAGAAACATATATACACATAGATACTTTTTGGAAAGAAGAGAAGCTAATCTTTACTTTTTTAAAACTTTTATGTATGGTTACTAGACTTTTTAACAGATTATTTTGCTCCTGAATATTTGGTTGATGTTTTCACATGAATTTGCAGTCGAAGGCATGTCGTGTCCGCTTTTTTTGTTATTCAGGCAATTTTTTACATGCATTTTCTATTCATGTGCCAAATTTCAACGAAAAATAATTGGGAGCAGATATGTTACAAGGTGCTTTATTAAATATACTGCTTTTTTTAGGTAGGGTTAGACAAACGTTTTTGTGGTGTTTCTTTTTAGAAACATATATAAATAAAAGTTATATTTGGAAAGAAGAAAGGTTAAGCTTGATTTTTATAGTACTTTTATGTATAATCACTAAACTTTTTTATGGTTAGTTTTGCTGAAAACTTTCAAGAAAATTTCGTTGATGTTCTCACATTAATTTGTTGTCGAAGGAATGTCGTGTCCGCTTTTTTTGTTATTCAGGCAATTTTTTACATGCATTTTCTTTGCACATGCCAAATTTCAGCAAAAAATAATTGGGAGCAGATAGTTTAAGAAGTGTAGGACTTTTGGTACCTAAATTCGGTTTTTTTTGTTTTTGTTTTATCAGTAAGAGAAATACGGGGGAGGATAGGGGGGAAGCGGATTGTAAACAAAAAATTACTACTACATTGTATTATTTTAATTCTTAATATTAGATTAAAATTCAAATAAAAATGGTAAAGTTATGGAAAAGAAAACTTTAAAAAGTAAGTTAATATGTTTTTCATGATAATAATAACTTTTTTAAAAAACAAAACAATGATAAATTAAAAAACCTTAATCTTTGTTTACATGGCATGTAAACAAAGATTAAGGTTTTTTTAAACTATATATACCAATGATGGTATATTAAAAAAGATTAAGATTTAAGTTTAAACTGTTACTTTGGAATATTTTATTAACTATTAGTATCAGATACCAATGTTGTTAATACACCATGTATATAAAAATATACAAACAACATTATTATACTTTAAAGTAAAACATTATTGGCTTAAGCCAATAACGTTTTTGACAAAATATTTTTATAAAAATAAGCTTATTTTTGTAAAAATATCAAGATACTTTTACAATTATAAGTTTATTCTTATATCTTGTTAGTGTCTTTCTAATATACAGTAATATAATTTTAAAATACAGTAATATTATTTGTTTTTTTTTTTTTTTTCATACCTTTTTCTTGTTAGTAAAGTTGTTATACGTAAAGCAGAACGGATTTAATAACTTATTTTTATTGACTGTTGACAATTTCAAGATCTTTTTTTTTTTGATTATACAATTTTTTTGTTATCATTATTCCAATATGCACAGACTACAGCTGGTAAGTTATTATAGCATAACTTTTATTAACCATTAAAGAAATATAAATAAATATATGTATTTCCTACTTATTTAATTATTACTTGTTGTGTATGGATTTCCCTTTTGCTGCAATTTTTTAATTTTAGTATCTACCTTTTGTGTTACACTTGGTAAGTTAAACAACTTTTTAATGTGAAATTAAAAAGTTGTTTAACTTTATTTCCTTTACAATATGTTTAACTTTATTTCCTTAGTCATGTGCTGCAACTATTAATTTAAAAAACTATTACATTTTATGTGTATGCATTTCTCGTTATTTAAAATATTGATTTTTTGTTACAACATTGTAATTTTAGTATCTACCTTTTGTGCTACACCTAAACAACTCTTTTTAATGTGCACAAATTTCTCACTGATTGCAATATTGATTTTTATAATATATTTTTTACCTTTAGTTCTTTATACGTGTGGCTACGCCTGGTAAGTTTCAAAACCTTTTTTCTTTTAACATGTGTAAGCATTTCTTATCAATTGCATATTCTTTTTTGCAATTGCATTTCTTATCAACTGGTTTTTAATTTAAACCATTTTTATATAAAAATTATTACTTTTTAGACTATGAATGCATTTATTACCATTTGTAATTTGTATTTTTTATTAAAACAAATTTTACTTTTAGTTCCATTTGTACCACCTTTAAACGGTAAATTTATAAATCTCTGATTTTTTACTGAGTTCCTCTTATTCCTATTTATATTATCTATTTAATACTTTTGTGTTTTGTTATCTCTCCAAGTGCTATAAAAGGAGAATCAGAAGCTTATACATGTTTGAGTTTTTATTCTGATTAACTTTTATTAAAAATTTCATTGATTCATTAATCATTCTTTATATATATTCAGACAAACTGTCTTGGTAAGTATTTATTTTAATTTTTTTAATTTTTAATTACATGAATTACAAATACATTAATATTTTATTTGTTTTTAGAGCTTACATAAGAAGCTTATAGGTCATTTCGATCTTAAAACTAAAATCATTTACTAAAAGCCAAGACATAGAGTAATTACTATGTTTTAAAACATTTTATTATTATTTTTTTTTATTAGGTTGGTGGGTTAAATATGATCATTTAAATGAGAAAATGTATACTAGTGCAACTTGTAATCTGGTAAAACAATTATGTATTGTGCTTTCTCTTTTTTAATAATTGCATGTGAAAATGTTGAAAATGTCTTTACTATGTGTTTTCTTTTTTATGTTGGTTGAGGGGAAGGGGGAAAACTATCCCTCTCCTCAAATTGTACATCACTAATGTATGTTCTATAGTAAAAAAAATATTGCTTTATGTAATACAACAATATTTTCAATACCAATGTATGTTGTATAGTTATAAAAGATTATTTTTTGCCACGTGGGGTGAGGGGGAGAGGGTGCATCATACTTCCTTCATTTCAAGTCAATGTGTGCATCAATAATATATGTTGAATAGTAATAAAAGATTTTTTTTAATTTTTAACAATGCATTTAATTATTGTAATAAAGAAAAAATTATTTTTTTTTTTTTTATGAGTCGGGGGAGGGGGGGGGGGCGGTGCGACATACACCCTCCCCCAAAGTTAGTGTTGTATATCACTAATGTATGTTTTATAGTAAAAAAAAATATTTTTACTTTTTAACAAAATATTAAATTACTGTAAAAAAGATTAAATTATTTATTAGAAAGTATGATTATTGTATTTAGGGTGTTATAACATCACAACCACATCTATGGTCAACTCTAAGATCACCTTATTTTGTTTGGCAGTGTTTTGGAATCAAGTTATGGCAATATTTTGTGTATAAAATATAACAATTACATTTAAAAAGTGCTTATTTCTGACAAAAACTTGTATTTTCTTAAGGGTTAGATGGTGTTTCATTACCCCCTCTGGCTCCCAAGATACACCCTACATCCAGGCACCAAAATGAACTTGTAGCCCATTAGTGCACCTATCTTGTGATACCAAGATATAGGTATTTGGATAAAAATTGACAAAGTTATAACAATTTAAGTGAAAAAAATAATTATTTTGACCACAGTTTCTTCAACAATTCCATATATCTAAAATTTGTTACTAAAAATGTTATAACTTTTTTTAGAATTGTTCGTTTTTAATAATTTTTTCACCTTTAAAATACTGTATTAAAGGCCTTTCTAATGATGTATAACATTCTACTATATGATCAATATAAAAATTTCAGTGCACGTACCTAGTAACAGATTTTCTAAATAAATTTGAATTCTATCAATGAACTTTGTTCTTATTTAAGATTTCGTTATCAATTTCCGACCAAAGCTTTTTCTTGTATAACATCCTCAATTGAAACCAGTATGAAAATACTTATATTTTTTAATTTGCATCATGCAGTTTGTGAACACCAAAAAACCTTAGTTTGGTATCATTATTATTTATTATTATTTAATCTTTATACCAGAATGATTTTTTTTAAATATGTTTAACAATAACTATCTTTAAACTAATAAAAAATGTAAAATTATAACTTATAATTATTTAGCTTAGTATTGACATTATAATAAAAGCACTTTAAAATTAACAATTTTTTCCCTTAGATCAAGAAAGCAGAAGTAATCTTTTAGATACAGTAGTAAGTTGTTACCTTTATTGAATACTTTTGCAGATTATAACCAATAGATCTACCCCTCAACTTTCTTGAAGTACTTATGGCATAAGAATCAAATATCTTTTGAAGATTAGGTATTCTCTCAAGCAACAAATCATTTACGTCACCCATTTCCTCGCAAAGATAATCAGATATTCTATGTAAATCTAGTTTTTCATTTTTCAACAAATCGCACTTTGATTCATCAAGATCGCATTTTGAATTAACTTTATCTTCAGAAGCACTAATAAAGAATAACATTTTTATTTAAAACAGAAAACAAATGTGATTTTATTTAAAATAAATAACAAATTTTAATTTTAAATTAAGAATATTATAACTTATATACAATTCAATTAACAGCAAAACAGCCTCTGTCAAAAATTGTTTATAAATAATTTAAAACAAAAAATATAGTTTAGATAAAAGTTTCAAAATATTTATTAGAAAATAAAGTTAAATATAGGGGGTTAAAACAAAATTTAATTTTTTCATAATTTAATTTTTTATCTTTTGCAATTACTGGTTTAATGTTTGCAATAGAATATTTCTATTTTAAAACTATTTTCAAGAAACAAAAATATAATTAACTTTCTTTCTCATTTGCACTTTATTTTAAATTTGATAATATTACTGTAGCTAAACATAAGTTTAACTTTTAGCAACAATTCTCGCTATACTGGGTATTACAGATGCCACTGAATTAAATCCAAAACTCCTTGATTAAATTTATAACTAAATTTAATTCAGCGACGTCCGTAATACCCAGCATAGCCAGGTTTGTTGCTGAAAGTTAAACTTATATCTAGCTATATCAATAACTATTATTAAGCGTTAAAATTCTTTTAAATTTTTCTAATTTTTTATTTTATTTTAATTACAAAATTATTTAAATAAGAGAATGTTATTTGACTAATTTTCTTTTGTTCAAATAGATTTCCTTTAAACAAAATTGCTAAAAGCAATTCTTAAAAGCGTATTTATAGAAAATGTTTGATCTTGATATGGCTTTAAAATAAACTTTTTTTTTTATATTTTACTCAAGAATTCTTGTTAAAATAATTTTCAGTTAGAAGTTTATATTATGTGTTAACAACATATAAAATATAATAAGAAACGTTTATATGGATAATTTTTGCAAGTCTTTGTAGTTTTAAAGTAATTTAATGTAGTAATTTCTAATTTACTTCATTAACTGAAAGTTAATGTAGTAAATTAACTGGTTATTTTGATTTAGTTTAAAGGAAATATTACTATGATGCATTTTATACAATATTGATCTCCACACTGAGGTATAAAGTAATTTTAAATCAAAAGCGCTTTATGCTGAATAAAATCTTCGCACAAGTGAGCAAAAATTATACTTCTTTTCAAAAGATAAATTTAGCGTGACGTACTTTATGACCCATAATAAAAATATCACTTTTAAGAATGGCCAAAAAAAAAAAAAGCTTAATTAAAAAACAAAAAAAAACAAATAACAAAAAAAACAAACAAAATGCAAAAATACTTTTTCGAAGGTGTAAAAAGCATTGCAAAGTGTAACAAGCAATGGCGATTTGCAATTGTAATACACTCATTTCAAGCCCTGAGATCTAAAACTCATTTTAATGGTTCTGAGACTAAAAGTAAGGTTTACTATCTCTGTAGTAGCACTTAACAACTGACCTTTGATTATTGTCCATATGCTAATAGAGTATATGCTAAATCCTGGAACAGAGGGATCAGAAAAAAATCTATGTCTAGATGTGAGACAAAAAACATCTGTCCCTTTGGATGGATGCTTTTCAAATGTAAATACCATCCAATAGATTCTCCAGTCTTGCAGAAAGCATGGGAAAAAACACTGCGTAGTAAGCGACTGGGGCGAGGTTTGATAAAATATAGCTGGAGACGGGGCCGGATTTATGACCAGAGCTGCATAAACATTTATACATCCTAAAGTTTTTTTTTAATTCCAAATTCATGTTATATTTTGTATATATACTACCGTTCATAATTATTCGAATGGCATTAACATTAAAATGCTTTGATAAATATCATAATAATAAAAATGCTAAAGAGGGCAAAACTATATAAAAAATGGACCACCAATTACAGTAAAAACTGACCTACATATTGAAATTTTAAATTTTTGATTTCAAGATATGATTGTTTGTCTGGACAAAAAAAATCATTGACAAAATAATGTGTATTATTAAATACAAAACATGGTAGATGTAGTGTTAAGGTGTGGGGTTGTTTTGGTTAGAATGCCACGGTTGAATTTATGAAAATAGAGGGAGCAATGACATAAGTAGTTTACTTGTACACTCAAAAAATCATGCTACACCTTCGGAAAGATTAGTTAATGTAAAGCTAATTATTTAAAAAAAAAAAATTACTTGAAGCTTAATATTTAAACATGTTTTTCAAAAACTTGTTTAAGTTATTCGATTGAATCTGAGAATGATCAAATATTAAATAAAATTATTTAGCCTCCCCAATTACAAGATTCTCTCCTATTGGATTTTTATGGGAGGAATTAAAAGCAATGTCAAAAACTAATGCCAAATGATGCATAAGATGTGGATAAAACTTATTAATTAATGGCATAAAATTGACTTTGACAAACTAGATAACTCGTTAAGTAGAATGCTACGTAAATGTGTGATGGCTATTGACGCTAAGGGTAATAAAAAGGTAAGTAAATTATAAACTGACTTATATTAACTTTTTTGTAAACCTAATAAAAAGATAACACATAAATCAGGTAGACTTTGCTTACAGTTTCTCTCCCAATAGTAAGTAAAACTTTGATACCTTATTTTGAAAAGAACAACTATTTGAATAATTATGAACGGTTGTGAATACACATGTATAAACGTCAATATGATTAACATATTCATCATAATCATCATTACCATTATGATCATCATGATCTTTATAATCATTGCCATCATCATCATCATCATCATCATCATCATCATCATCATCATCATCATCATCATCATCATCATCATCATCATCATCATCATCATCATCATCATCATTAGGTTTTAGTCTTCCTCTTTTATGCTGTTTCTCTAATATAAACAATCAAGAGCATTTTCTTTCCTTAACTAATGCTCACTCATACAATATGTAAAGCACTCTCTTCAATTTTCTCATTTATCCTGAAGCTGCTACCTCTCTACATTCTGATACCTAAATCAACTACCTAAATTAAATTTAATCTTCTCTTACAAATTTTGTTGGATATAACGTTTTTTTAAATCTGTCTAAGATTATGTCTCCTTTTCTTGTCTTGTTAGAGTCATAGTACATATGCATCTGATCATCTACTCTTTCGGCAAATAATAAATCATATAAATACTAAAGTTTTTATAAATATAAAAGGATATTATATGCCAGCATCTAAATAAATAGCAAACATATGTTTATATCCATATTATGTCTACATAAATGCACATCTTGGAAACTATTATTCCTTCTGGAATAATAGCTTCCAAGATTCTGGAAGCTTAAAAATTTTTATTCCTTCTCTTCAATTGTAAGTCAAACCTCATTCTACTCCACATTTTTTACCATCTTCAGAAGTTATTTTATTAAACCGTAACTGTTTTTTTCATCTTTTTTACAAGAACATCTCTCTTAAGAACAAATGTCCTTTTATTTTTGCAAGAAGATTTAGAGATTATTAAGTCATTTCTTTCTGACTGCAATATTAAAGTTATTCTTGAAGGCCTACACTCTTCTTCATTTCAAGTGACTTTAAAGGTACCACAAGGTGTTATCTTTGCTTCTGTATTGTTTCCTATTTACAGTAATAATCTTTAAGAAAATTTTACATCTAAAGTAGCTCTGTTTGCTGACGACTCAACTTTATACTCTTGTCATGACAAAAAATCTTCACTTTTTGATTGCTTATAACAAGCAGACGAAGACTAAAAACACATTGTAAATGTAATTTACAAATATAAACCTGCTTTATTTGCCAAGCTTGAGCCACCCTCCCATTGTTGCAAGGTTGCATTTCTTTCTCTTTTCTACAAATACTATCATGATCAAAGCTCAAATGAGCTATCATCTCTATTACTATAAACCAAAACTCATTCTTGCTTAGCTTCTTATTCAAAAAGTTGCATCCTATTAGTGCATCTATCCCTTCATGCTATAAAAACTTTTATTAATCAAGTTTTTTTCCTTGCACATCAAAAAAAAAAAAAAACTAATAATTCTTACCCATCTTCATGTTTTATTTTTTTATACAACAAATAACTTTTCAAGTCTTCAGTTAACTGTTTCATAGGTTTTTAACCCTATCCTTTATTTTAAAATAACTCATAATTTAATAGTAGTTGCTTGCAACCTTGGTGGAAGTAAATTAGAGTTTAAATATATATAAATATATGCCAGTATTTAATAAATAGTAAATGTAAGTTTAAAATTATAATATTTAAAGTATTTTAACTTTTTTCTAGCCCTGGCTATCAACCCCTGCTAATTCTTATAATTTTGCCAGAGCCAGGTTTGCAAAAAGTCTCATTTTTTGGCAGGGCCGGGGCCCCAGTCACTAACTATGCATTGTATTTCTCAATTTTGCAAAAGCATTTAATAAAATTTTGCAAGATTTGATAAGAAACACATTGTTAAGGAAATTATTAAGGCTGTTATTCTGAAATTATTAAGCTATTAGGCTGAAATTATTAAGGCTGTTATTCAAGCTGTCAATAGATGAACTAGCAAATAGATTAGAGGCCACTGGCTGCAGTCTTAAATTTGCTAAGCTCCCTCTTCCATAAATTTTGCTGGTGACTACATGTTGTCGGCTTAAATTGGCTTAAATTAAAACATTGCTGAGATAAACGTATTAACAAATGTGTGCATACGTTCTTTGGAGAGAAGGGTTTAGCTGTATACCCAGCAAAATGTCAGTTGTTACAGGTTCTGCTTGAAAAAGCCAAGAAACGGTCCATAGAAGTCTTCACTGGGAAGCACATATGGTGGAAAGTGTATAACTGGGATTTTGAAATCCTATCTATGACTTTCAAAAGTGTTGGAGTACCTGGTTATAACTATTGACCCAGCATTTAAGAGCGCTCTTCCGATTGAGACAAGGTAGCTGTAGCTCCAGACTAAGTGAGTTTAAACTCAATCCTTACTAAAAAAGTAAAGATGCTGAATGAGGTAGTTTGTGCCCGAGCTAACATTCTCCAGATGTCTGAGTTGAGAATCTGTAAGCTCCATAAGTAGTAATGATTT